AAATTACGTGTAAATAAACTATTAAAGGAGAGACAAGACAGTCGTCTATTTCGATAAGTAATGAACGTGAGAAATAATGGTCATATCGAGGGCATCAAATACGATGTAATGAGTAAACTGTTTCCAGTTGTAGAACGTGTTTTGTTATTTTCATCGGAACTTTCCGCGCGCGTCTTTTCAGGAATAGGATATGTAACTTGTATTATCGTTGGGTAGACGACAGTATGCAAGTCATGTTTGTATGTTGTACTCGTTTATGGATTCAATTGTATGTTGAGCAATGCAAGCGATGACTGAAGCGAAGTGGGCATCTTTGAGAGAAAAGTAATAGTGGAAGGTATAATAATTATAACTTGGAATTTTTTTAGTCAAAAATATATACAATATCTCAATGTAAGATCGAAATATAAAATGAGCTTGGCAGAAAAAAAATTATCTGAAGAAAATTGTTAATTTTTTTTTATCTTTCTAGAAAAATACGAAAACTTTTTCATAAAAAAAATTTAAGGTTTGCATTCTAATTGAAAGCAGAAAATAAATATAGGTCATATTAGCTGCTGGTCATGATTTACACATTAATTTTATCAACTTTATTATTTCAGGTTTTACATAACAGTTTTTGTGTAAATGTATTTTAAATAAGCTGTATCACATTCAGGCTTTTTTTAAACCGATTAGAATTTTTAAGCCTTATTTTATTTCAAGTGTTAGTCGTTAGTCAAAAATAGTAACATAATGACAGAAAGCTTTTGTGACTATAAAACATCTGGGAAGGTAATTTGACTAAATGTCAATCGCAGTAATTACAATTATATTGACAGTGGGAAAAATTTTAATTAGTTATTTCTGTATTTTTAACCGCAATGATAATAATGAATAGCATCGGCAAATGATAAATCAAACGTTTGATCGGTATGCTTGTTTTGGTTGAAATGCAACAAATAGCTATTTTAATACTGTAGAACGGTCCCAATACAAGCATAGCGGCTTTCATTGTCTATCAAGGTACTCTATTATCTGACATTAAGCGATTTGGTAGCCACGGAAAACAATTGGCCAAAAGTAAAGCTAACAAATTTCGAAACCACACCTTCCATTCTGAAAACTATGAAAGTAATTTGGAAAACGGTGAGGTAATTCGCAAGTTAACTGCTAATGCTTTTTCTATGCTTTATAGTCTTTAGGTAAACAAAGAACTTACTTCTTTAGAACACTACAAGATTCTGTTTCCAGCAATAATCATAGGGCAAGAAAAAGCACGACACCATGATGTAGAATAAATTGCACAGTGCTACAGTGATGAATAAACATTTAAGTTAATTGCCTGCAGCAATTTGAGAAGCTATCGGATAAAATATAATTTCAAGGTAGGTCATACACTAGGGCAAAAGTCTTGCACATTGAAATTTTTTAATTACACAAATTACACACAATAATAATACTGTATCTCAACATAATGTTGTTTTTGTTTTAAAAAAGCGCGTGTATGGTTTTCGTGTTATTTGTAAACACAAATCAGAATATGTCCTGTCCCAGATGCTGACTTGGCCCGCCCGTTCCGAACGGGGCTTGGCCCAAATATTTTGTTACACATGTGATTATAATAAATGCTGATATTTACAAAGTTTATATTTATCACACAGTTACGTAAATGCCAGAACACTAGTGCGTGTACAGCAACTGTTTTACTGGAGATATAACTATCATCTGGTGCAGAACACATCGACGCTGTCTATAGTGAACCGAATCTAATAAACTTGTCATATCGTTATCGTGAAATCGATTCTCTGATGATTATACTCCATATTTGTCAGAGGGGTTTCCAGGAAAAAAAAGATCAAATACTCTCGATCAATAAGTAGTATTATTCCCAATATTAAAAAAAATAATAGTGAACGAAAGGTTTGGATTGTAATAAGCTCATTTTTTTTGCTGAAACAAATGATTAAGCTTTAATTATGGAATCATACACTATAGCTAACACATATGCATAAAATACGTTGCGTTCAATAGATCATCCAATTCCAATACTAACATGCCAATGCGTGATTCAACAGAAAAAATTATCGTATGGCAAAAAAAAAAAAATCAGGGCCATTAGCCAAATTTAGTAGAGATAAACATCATACAATGTCAGACCTATTCTGGTAAAAATTATTCAGGAGAAGATAATTTTTGCCAAAATAAATATTGGGTAATAATTTAGGTTTTTTGCTAAATAAATTGTACACTGTAATCAAGTATTATAGGCAACTAATTATCTTACGATTAATTGCTAGTCAGGTTATTGGGCCTAAGTGACGGAACATATGGCCTAATCTTACGAAAATTAGTCGATTAAGTTTATTGGCAAAAAGAGGTGTTTTGAAGCAGTTTACTGGCGCATAATTATCTTACGATTTATTGTTAATCCGCGATTTGCCTGACTTTTTACAAGTTCAGCTAATTGAAGTGCATTAGCAAGGCGATGGTTATATATAGTCCTGCAGCTCGACAATTCATAGCTTAAGATTACGCAGATAAAGACGAGCAGTAAGTATGTCTAGTAACAGCTTCAATTTTATTGCCAGAGAGAAATTTGATGAATTGATGATCAATTACTTGTCAGATAGGCGACATACCAAATCATTTATTTCAAGAGAAACTGCCAATAAATTATTGAACCTTCTTACCAATAGAGAAGATAAACAAATAATCGTAAATTTAAATGCTAGGCACGTAATCGGTTTAATACTATGACCATTGGCGATGTCGTAAAGGTTATCGATAAAAAACTGAAAAGCCTATTTGTGTTCAAGATCAACTGTATGATAAAATTAAAATTCTCACCTCGAACTTCAACATGCTGGGTATAGAAAGACTTATGCGGTAAACAACTATAATAAATTTTTTTTTAAAAAAAACAAGCATTGTTCTTGTACGTTTATTCACAAATTCTTCATGTGCTAATAAGTGTAGGATAATGTGACTAGTGTCTGCGAAGGCAATTATTTTATGACCCGCGTGCAGGTAGATTTTTATTACATATATGGAATAAATAATTGTATTTTATAATGTTAAAAAATTATATAATCATAGATCGACTTAATTGACATGAGAAGCCGTCCAGACGGAGAATATAAATTGATAATGCACGCAAGGGACCACTTTATGAGATATTCATGGACGAGTACACTAAAAACAAAAAAAGCAATTTATGTTGCAGGGTTTCTTTTTCAAACCTTTACACAATTTGGTGCTCCCGCTATTTTACAGTCTGATAACGGAAAAAAGTTTGTTGCTGCCATAATTCGCGAACTTGTCAGTCTGTGGCCGGATATTAAAATCATAAACGGTCGTCCGAGATATTCTCAGTCTCAAGGTTTAATTAAAAACACTTGAAATTAAGCTTTTAGCTTGACTTAATTTAGGGGCGATAAATACACAGATTTGTTCAGCAACCAACCAGAGTCCGTACGTGCTAGTATTTGGTCGGTTGCCGCGCTCTATCAGATTTTTATTAGAAGAATTAAACAATATGGGTATAAATGATGAGAGGAAATACCAGACAATGTTTACAGTGAAGGCAATGACGAAACAATAGGTTTGCAACAAGAAAGCAGGCAGCGATGATGATATTCAACAACACTATAACGATGTAGTAGTAGAATTGCCTCCGCCTCTTCCTCCACCGATTTCTTTTTTACTTTCTCCATCTCCAGAATTAGAAATCAGTGAGACTAAACCACACTTTAGTGAAAATGATGATCAATATTCTTCTGATAATTCATTAAATATATCTCAGTGGGAAACTGGACATTATATAAATCTATAAGCCCTTTAAAATTTTACCTCCCTCCACAATAGGAGTTCATATGAATAGCTGGCAGTGATCGAATGGTGCCGGCAAAATCTGTTTACGCATAAGTGACAACGCTGTAACAACAGATACATATAGTTCACACAACAATGATCAGTAACTAAATCAAGGTACGATAAAAATAGAAGAAAACCCAACAATTTAAATACGTAAGAAGTTCGACTTTTTGCTAGATTCTGTGGTTTGTATAATTTGATTTTTTTTTTGTTACTACTGTCGTCGGGTAGTTTTTATATTATTCGTTCTCTGGTAAATTATTCGATATAGTTAAAACCATTAATTATTATATCGGTTAGGAATATCCGCCTCTTATCCCATGGATATTCCAATGGTATTACGATTGTTATGCGCTTAAGTACAAATGAATTTTAGATAGATACAAGTATACCCCAACCTATAGTTTCGAATTAATCCCATCGGAAGGGAATAATCGATTAACTCGAGGGCGAATCATTAATGTCTGTCGATAGACACTAGATCATGAGTAGTAAAACCTAGTTTACAGGTCACTAACTGTCGTCGTATTTAACTAAAAAAATAAGACAAGCCACAGTTCCGTTTGAAAATAGTTAAATCTCAAGGTCAGCGATTGATTGATCTCCCGCGATTATTGACTCGACACAGTGGGAAGAAGCTCATCTACCGACAATTAATAAATCGAACGTTTGATCCTTTATTTCAGTTGGATTGCTTTAGAGATGCAATGAAATGTAACTTAACAAGCAAAAAGGGTGGAATATGAGAAAAGCTGTTGAATGAATACGGAATTTTTTTTGGAAAAACAACTAAAAAAAAACTTCATGGAACCAAAAGATTAGCGACTCCTGTATAAGTGCAGCATATTGTGTAACGTGATCTGCAGATTCTCAATCATTGGCTCATACAAATTCACTGCTACGAATGACTAATCTTGAAGTTAACCTACAGAATGTCTCAACAACCTTTTCAAGCCTGGCAGAACCAACCATGGAAACAACACGAAGAACAACAGCAGCATCAACAGCAGCTTAATCCTGCCGCATCTACAACTGATCAAGCATACTACTGGGATGGCTCAAAATATGTGTATTATCAAGATTTGCAAGCAGTACCACAGTCTCGACAAGACCAATCGCTCAGTCTTTCACAATTACCCGCTGATATGTTTATCTCTGGTGGTCTGCCAATGTATTCTATTTTGCAATCAACAAGCGAACAACAAATGCCGACATATATAGGCAATTCGATTCAGCAACCGAACGGCGCTCCGTTCCCGCAGCAAAACCTTTTTACGAACGAAGTCATTATGCCGATGCATAGACTGAGCCGACAAAACTCGGTTCAAGACATGCTTGGAGTTTTCCCGATCGAGCCATCGGATTATGCCCAATCACAGGTTCGTCTACTTATATTCGGATTACTGTAAGGTGACCGTACCAAGCTCACCCTTACTATTATGACATTACAGGTCTATCCAACGGAGATTATTCCACGTCCGCCTCCGTCACAAGCAAGCATTCAGCAACAAAGCAACGTTGATCAATCGGGAAACGAGGACTCGCATCAATCTTCCCAGATGGAAACTGATGAGCAACCTTCGCAATCTCAAGTAATTGCTTATCAGCGGGAAAAGCTTAATAAGGAATGGGTAGATAAAAGTATTCAAGACGGTTCTATCCGCTGTTATCCAAAAAGTGACATCGACGTGGGTCGTCCTATTGCTGGTGGTGCCTATGGAGTCGTGTATAAGGCAACGATGAAACATAATAGATTGGCTGTCGCCACAAAAACTTTGTATCGGGATGCCCACGGTTGTGAGGAAAAATTTTACAAAAAGCTTGCTAAAGAGGTTCTTTATTGATTTTTTGTCTAATATTAGAGCGTATGCAGTTTTATTATTGCCAATTTATAACTAATGATTTACACGCCACCAGCTGAAAAACCACAAGAGAGTGAACGGTCATCCGAACATTGTCCGATTATTAGGTGTCTGTAAGTATATCCTTATTATCATTACAATGACGATGTATTTCTACACATGACACATATGTATTCTTCAATCTAAAGATGAAGATGACGGTTATCATATGATTTTCGAGTTTGCTAATGGCGGAACTTTGCGCAATCACTTGACGAAACATTTTCGTAGTTTGACATGGGAAGACAAGTATAAGCTCAGCCTCGAAATTACTAATGGTTTGGGACACATGCATAAGCTTAATATCATCCACAAGGACTTGGTAATATGCGATTACACTTTGTTTTGGTGACGGCTATATAACTTATACTTAAAAAATTATAAACTAATAATTATTATGCTCTAATTCTTATTTACAGTCCTCCTCCAATATTCTTATTAAATCTGGTATTGCAAAAATTACTGATTTTGGCCTATCTGGACAGATTATATCCTCATCAATAGGAGAAGGCACAGCAGCATACAGAGATCCCTTATCATTTAGAGATCAGCCATATAAATGTGGAAAAAAATCTGATATCTTTAGTCTTGGAGTACTGTTCTGGGAAATTTCTAGTGGGCAAATTCCTTGTAATAAATGCACTCATTATAGTGTAGTAGAATATAGAAAACAAGGCTATCGAGATTCCCCATTTCCAGGAACACCAGAAGTATATGTTCAGCTATATTCAGCATGTTGGAGTGAAAATCTTGATGAACGACCATCAAGTGAAGAAATATACAAACAATTAAACCTGTTATTTAATAATAAAAATCAGCATTTACATTTGCCAAGCAGAGTGCTGGATTTTTCTTTCAAACTGAGAAATAGTGGTGTGACAGCACTGATGGTTGCTTTAAAATCACACCCTTCTGTTACTTCTTGGATACTTTCTTATAATCAGCTTGGAGATGCAGGAGCAACAGCATTGGCAAAGGCTTTAGAATCAAATTCTTCCCTGATTTCTTTAAATCTTAGGTTTAATCAGATTAGAGATGTAGGAGCAATAGCATTGGCAAATGCTTTACAATCAAATTCTTTCCTGACTTCTTTAAATCTTGGGTTAAATCAGATTGTTGATGCAGGAGCAACAGCATTGGCAAAGGTTTTAGAATCAAATTCTTCCCTAATTACTTTGAGCCTTCATTGTAATCAGATTGGAGATGCAGGAGCAACAGCATTGGCAAAGGCCTTAGAATCAAATTCTTCCTTGATTACTTTGAAACTTTCTGAAAATAAGATTGGAGATGCAGGAGCAATAGCATTAGCAAAGGCCTTAGAATCAAATTTTTCCCTGACTTCTTTGAACCTTTCTGAAAATGAGATTAGAGATGCAGGAGCAACAGCATTGGCAGAGGTCTTAAAATCAAATTCTTCCCTGACTACTTTGAAGCTTTCCAAAATTAAGATTGGAGATGCAGGAGCAACAGCATTGGCAAAAGCTTTAGAATCAAATTCTTTCCTGATTACTTTGAAACTTTCTGCTAATCAGATTGGAGATACAGGGGCAACAGCATTGGCAAAGGCTTTAGAATCAAATTCTTCCCTGACTTCTTTAAATCTTGGGTTAAATCAGATTGTTGATGCAGGAGCAACAGCATTGGCAAAGGTTTTAGAATCAAATTCTTCCCTAATTACTTTGAGCCTTCATTGTAATCAGATTGGAGATGCAGGAGCAACAGCATTGGCAAAGGCCTTAGAATCAAATTCTTCCTTGATTACTTTGAAACTTTCTGAAAATAAGATTGGAGATGCAGGAGCAACAGCTTTAGCAAAGGCTTTAGAATCAAATTCTTCCTTGATTACTTTGAGACTTTCTGCTAATGAGATTGGAGATGCAGGAGCAACAGTATTGGCAAAGGCCTTAGAATCAAATTCTTCCTTGATTACTTTGAAAATTTCTGAAAATGAGATTGGAGATGCAGCAGCAACAGCATTGGCAAAGGCCTTAGAATCAAATTCTTCCCTGACTTCTTTGGAACTGAATTATAATCAGATTGTAGATGCAGGAGCAACAGCATTGGCAAAGGCTTTAGAATTAAATTCTTCCCTGACTTTTTTTGAAATTTCTGACAATGAGATTGGAGATGCAGGAGCAACAGCATTGGCAAAGGTTTTAGAATTAAATTCTTCCCTGACTTTTTTGAAAATTTCTGAAAATGAGATTGGAGATGCAGGAGCAACAGCATTGGCAAAGGCCTTAGAATCAAATTTTTCCCTGACTTCTTTGGAACTGAATAATAATCAGATTGTAGATGCAGGAGCAACAACATTAGCAAAGGCTTTAGAATCAAATTCTTCCCTCACTTCCTTAAACCTTCATCATAATCAGATCAAAGATGCAGGAGCAATAGCATTAGCAAAGGCCTTAGAATCAAATTCTTCCTTGACTTCTTTGGAACTTTCTATGAATCAGATTGGAGATGCAGGAGCAACAGCATTGGCAAAGGCTTTAGAATCAAATTCTTCCTTGACTTCTTTGGAACTTTCTATGAATCAGATTGGAGATGCAGGAGCAACAGCTTTAGCAAAGGCTTTAGAATCAAATTCTTCCCTCACTTCCTTAAACCTTCATCATAATCAGATTAAAGATGCAGGAGCAACAGCATTAGCAAATACTTTGAAATCAAATTCTTCCCTGACTTTTTTGAACAAGGGCTTTAGAATTGTTAGGCCCAAGCTCAATTGGCTATGTATTCCTTCGTAAGTTATGCCTGGTGGTACGAACATTTTCTATAATGTAGAACTTTATTGTCTAACTACGGTTACCCGCTAGAGCTAGTTTTAACATATATGCTAGGCATACATAGGTACAATAAAGAGCTTGG